CTGATTTAATTTCATTTTATTTTTGTTTAGAGTGGAGGCCATGATTTGATGCCTTTGTGGGATGCTGATCTTGAGAACAACATGAGTTCTTTTCCCACTGAAAAATTGGGATTTTGGGTCCCTCAAGCTGATTGTCCATTGAATCAGATGCAAAATCAGTCTATGGATATGGCCTTTCGGGCATCAAATGGAAACAAGGAATTTACTGTTGATAAGAATAATAAAGCTAGCAGGGAGTGGAGTGAGGACAGCTCTTTTGTGGTTCCACAGATCACACCATCTTTGAGTTCTTCCAAGAGATTGAGAACCTCTTGATAACATGGTGATTTGTTGCATATTTTGTATTTTCTTGTTTTTTTCTTTAAAAAAAAAAGAAAAGTAAAATGATATTCAAGTTTGTAAGGAGAAAATTATAAGATGAGAATCAAGCTACAAATGGTTTGTGCTATTCTCAAGAATCTTTCTCTCTCTAAAAAGTCAGGATGTTTTGTGATTATCTCTTATTTATTGGGCAAAGAACAATATCTTTTTGAATAGTTTTGATCTTCTTCTCAATTTTTGGTCCAAGCTAAAATCTTTTGGTGTTGTAAATATCATCATGTTGCATCAAATAGATGTCTCCATCAAGAATGGAAGTGCGATTTTCATTTCAGAATAGTGGAAATCCGGGAGATCACAAGACCTGAAACGAATTCAATAGCAATTACTATTTGATTCTTTATCCAATGCTATATATCATAATACACTCAAGAAAACAGTTGGTATGTGATTTTCAAGTACTATGGAGGTTGATGGTTGGAAAAAGCCCTCTCTTATCTCAATTACTCAAGTTGCTCTCTTGAGAATTGTCCTCTTGTAAAAATGCTGCAGATCTTTATGATTAGATAAGAAACACTCACTAACAAATTTTGGATGCAAGTGTTGTTCAGGTGTGGCTCAAAAATCATATTTTTGGTGGGGGCATTAGTCACATTTTGTATAGTCACTCTTGAACCTTCTTTCTTACAATCATGGAAAAGCCTTGTCATTTTTATTTAACAACTGCTAAAAGTGATTTTCCTCGCATTTTATGCCTTGTTTGACAAAAGTAATGAACACAAATACACAATTGGCCAATGGCAGAGGTTTTTGTTTGATCAAATAAGACTTGTCAATGAAGGAAAAAAAAATTACATTAGATACTCATCTACACAATTTTTAAGAAATTACCAACTAGTCAGTCCTACACAATTATGTATTCCTTGCATTACACACTCACATATTTTTACTGTTTAAGTCATTTTGAATCATCTTTTATTATTTTCGCATCAAATTATCCATTTACAAGATTTCATCCTTTTCAATTTTAATCAATTACAATCATTTTGAATCATCATTTCGCTTCCTTACTTCCCTCGTCCAGTAAGAGCAATTGCTACTCTTTTTACATCAAATAAAAATTTACACATTCACAAGACTGTGAACACTGACCACATGGGTAAAGTGAAATTCTCTCTTTTTCTATCTAATGACTTTTTTCATCAATATATTCTGACTGAATATAATCCAAATCAAGCCTAAGAATCCTTGAAAATGTGAGAACTTGAAGTAATATGAAGTAGACTCTAGAGGGGACCATTAAATCAACTTGCAAAAATTTGTGGGGTTCGCTATAATTTCTTTGTGGTTTTCAGGTATTCAATAATTCATTTTTGTACTTCTCTGTGGATAGGTGCAAAAGTCCAACCAAGACTTTCATGAATCATGATCATGAGTATACAGTATACTGGATAGAATCAGCAAAATCCGTTTTTGGCCCATGAGATTCTCCCTCTCTAAAGAACCAGAAACTAGTTTTGTTCTAATCAACTATATAAAATTTTTACTTCCTTTACTCTCATTTCTTTCTCCAATGTATGATCTTATTTGACTTTTAACAGATAGCAGATAATTGATGATTGATAGTAGATAGATGATTGAATTAACATTTTTAACTGCTTGATTGGATTAGTTTATTATACAGAAGTGTTTTATAAATAGTTAGTCTTTTTTATTTAACAAAAAAAAGTTAAATCATTTGATATGTAAACATAACCAATTCTATATTCTCATTTAAAGAGTTCTCTAGTGATTTTTTAAATAAGATCTGAAACGCTATTACGGATCATTACTTAACTAATAATTAGTACATAACCCGTGCGATGCACGAACTATATTTATTTTAGGGAATATTATAAATTGAAGTGTATTAATAAATAAAAAAGTGATAATAAGTAGAAAATTGTCAAAATTCATATAAAATGTTCATTGTGAAAAAATAATATATTATCAAAAACCTCCTCGTACACAATATTATTAGTTGATTACTGGGCAACTCGTCGTCCCCACGGGTTAAAATTTTCAACTTATCTCTATTACATACACAAGAAATAACAACATATAATTAACCGTTACTAAAAAAAGTTTTTCTTTAAGATCATACAAATATTCGATAAAGACGGACTTTGATTCTTCTTTATGGTCATGACATGCAAAACCATAAGTGGAAACTACTACGGCTGGAACATAAATGAACCCTAAGATCGAAAGGATTTATTTACAATATGATAGTTTACATGGCAGTTCGATAATATGAGCTGTTAGTTCATCATTTTAACATTGATTATACTTGATTAGCAAATAATATTTACTAATATTTTTATATTTTTCAATCATTAATTTCTTAAACTCATGAGCGATAATTACTATTTTATATAACTTTATACTAAATTTATTATATATAAATTTATATTTATTGTATGAATGACTTGAGATTAATTCTTTATTTTAAATCAATATTAAATAATAAACTTTAATTCATGTTATATATGAAATTAAATAATAAACTTAATAATACTTTGAACAAATAATTTTTCATTATATATACAATATGAGTGTCAGATAGAATCTTGTAAACCAAAGGTTATTTTAAGTTATATATACAAAATGAATAATATACAAAAATGTTTTTAAATATATAAATACGCATCCCATTATTTAAAGTGAGAACGTGAGACTCATTCCTAGCCACAAGATTTAGATCTTGATTTAAATAATAATTTTTTATTTTTATTATTTAATTCTTTATTTTTAATTATTTAAATATTATTATGACCATTGACCGTTGACTCCGGCGTTGACCGTTGACTTCCAGCGTTGACTTCCGGTGTTGACCGTTGACTCCGTCGTTGACTTCCGACGTTGACCGTTGACCATTTGTCTTTTGTTATGTTATTTCTTTCTTGTTAGGTTAGTTGTGTCTTGTTGCTAGGTTAGTTGTTTGCTGTTGCTAGGTTAGTTATTTGTAGCTGCTATGTTAGTTGAGTTTTGTTGCTAGGTTATTTTTTTCTTGCTGCTAGGTTAGTTGTCTTTTGTTGCTAGGTT